TCCCTAACTTTTAATTTCTTTTCTAATACAAGCATTTGAAGTTATACATATTCCTAGTTCTTTATTTTGTGTGTAATACAAAAATTGGCAGTCATTATTTTCAAGGTGGAGAAGAGAATCTTATTCTGACTTCAAAATTGCTATTGTCAATTATGACTAAATTCATAATGCTCACCATGTCAAACCATATGATTTTGATATATACATTGGAGAATCATACTGACCAATGTTGTTTTAATGTCATCTTGTTTCATATAGGATTCACCTTTATTTGATCTTATTAAACAAGCAAAGGACCGAGAAGGACCAGCTGATCACCTTGAACCTGCTTGTACTCTCAACCTTCCTCTCCAGAATAATCACACTGCAGCAGATATGTAAGTAGAATGTCTGTTGTGTCAGTCCATTCAACTTGCAAATAGATTCTGAGCATAGTGTGATGCAAGATGTTATACAAAAGCTGTAGGGAATAGAATTTTGAATAAGACATTTTTCCTGCTTTCAGGGATCAGGAATATAAGATACATGACCCAAATAAAGTTCATATACAGTGGTACAGAGTGCTACTGAAATCACTCAGGTTTGATGTAATGAGGACACCTTTCATGCAGAGATGGCAATTTAGATAGTCCTCAAAGGTAGAGCAGGATTTCAACATGGAAACTGGAGAGGAGGGAAGAGGCAGAAATAGCATGAACCCCAAAGTATAGCAGTCAGGAAAGCAGGAAACATTTTTCAGGGAGTACAGCTCAGTGCATCTGGAGTGAAGCATAGGATGGGGCAAAGGGAGTAGTGTGGGATCAGAGACTAAAACGGTTGATTAGTGCATGATGGTGTGATGGAAGAAGAAGGCGGTAACTAACATTTATTGAGGGGTCACTGTGTGCTGGACAGTGACCTAACAGCCCTGTAAGATAATAGACACAGCTTTCAGCCTCCGTTATCTATGAAGAGGGAATTAGAAATCAAACTCAAGCAATCTGACCCCAAAGCCCATGCTCTTAAGCAGTCTAGCTACATTGCCTTTCATAGAAATGTGCCTAATGTTATGTTCCTGTTCAGTTCTGTATAGGAATTGACATTACAGCATTCTGTGATTAGTGCAGGGACTGTTTTCCAGAGATGTCATTTCCATGATAATTTGTACCAAAGTATTTCTAGCATATGGAGCTTCTGCCTTCATGTATAAATTTGTTTGCTAGGTAATACATAAATATAAATAAGTCAAGCCTTATCTTTTTCTTTAATTCAATAAGCAGTTGTCTGTTAGGTGCCAGGAAATGTTCTAGGCACTGGGAATACAAAGGCGAATAAGATGGACTAGGTCCTTCCCCTCGTAGAGCTTACGCTCTGGAGGAAGGAAATAAACAGTGAACAAGTAAACTAATACATAAGGTGACTTTAGAATATAATAAGTTCTGTAATAGAAAGAAACAGAATGATGTGAAAGAGAGAAGCTAAGAGAGTGATAGAATGTTTAGGGAAGCTTTCTCTGATGAAGTGCTATTTGACCTGAGACTTCAGGAACAAGTGGGTGCTGGCCAGGCAAAATATGCATGATGCGCGTTACAGGCACAGCAAACAGTATTAAGTGCAGTGGCCTAGAGTGGTCAAACTTAGCTGGTCTGAGGAACAGAAAGAAACCCCGAAGCAAACAAGAGGAGAATGGTACAAGATGGGGCTGGAGAGGCAAACTGGATCTAGACCTTGTAGGTTCTCATAGGCCGTAGGGAGGAGTTTGGGTTTTAGAAGGGCAGTGGGAAAGCATTAAGGTTTTAAGCAGGGGTGCAGCTTGCTATAATTGGTATTTTTAAAGGGTCAGTTTCTGGCTGCTACTTGAAGTACAGGTGGGTTTGGAGGAAGGAAAGGAACAGGGCAAGGAAGAAAGTAGAAAGACCAGTTTGGAGAATATTTCAGTAGTTCAAGTGAGAGATGTAAACAACTTGGTCTAAGATATGTCAGTAGAGGTACAAAGACATGGAAAGATCTGGGGTGTATTTTAGAGGAAGATTTAGTAGAACTTTCTTTTGCATTGGGTTTGAAGATTGGGAAAAGGGAAAAATTAAAAATACCTCCTGAGTTTTTAACTTAAACTGGGTGTAATGTGGAGCCATTTCTTGACATGGGAAGAATGGGAAAGAAATCAAGGCCACTTTGGCCTTCTTAAGTCTGAGATTCAAGTAGCGAAGTCCAGGAGGTAATGTGTTCACCTAGAATTCAAGGGAAACTAACTTCTACCCAAGTTAAGTCAGTCTACAGTATTGTTAGTTAGTGAATTGAAGGGAAATTCAAGGGTGATAATAGACTAGACCCTGGTACTTATATAAAGTTATAATGGTGATTCCCTTTTCCTAGTGTACTAGTAAATATATTGAATGTACTAGAAACATCCATAGTAAGGTACAAATCCTACTTCCTGCTCAGAATGATTTCTCAGCTACTAAAACAAAATTAGAAAGTTATGCTTTGGTGTTTACTCCCTAGTACTTGCTCTTCATAGTAGATTCTGGGATATTTTTAAAAGACTGTAAACCTTTTACTAATAGTGACCTTAGTAAAAAGTGTTCTTGAAAAAAAGAAAAGAAAGTAGACCTGGATCATCCTCTAAAATAAAGGGCAACACAGAGCAGTAGAAGGTCAGAAATTGAGAAATAATTTTACTAATATCTCTGCCTTGATTTATGCCTGACATATTTTTAGTATACAGGTGTAAATCTGCCTTGATAATGTTACTTGAAATATTAATTCATATAATTGTGTACTATATAATTTAGGAGGGAGTATATATGTGTAACTTAAGTGCTATGTATATGAACCATAGTTATCAATGAAATGTTTTTAGGAGAGAATCAGAGAAATTGATATTTTGATATCAGTGGCTTGTTCTTTTAAGCTAGAGGAAGGACTGAACCAGAATTCTGGAACCAGAAATTATGAACCAGAATTTTATGAATTCAGTCCCACTTTAATTATTAGAATTGAACATATAAACATATGCAGCTGTTTTTTAAATAAGGCAGTAATTCCCAAGAAAAGCCATTTATTGAAATAGAATTAGAAATGATAAGGACAAGCTTAGTTTTCCTATTAATCTCTCTTTTCCAACTTGTATTTAAAGAGGAATTTGGTGTAGAACAGTAGGTTAAATAGACAAGATGTGTTTGGATGCATGTGTACAGCCATGTGTGTGTGTGTGTGTGTGTGTGTGTGTGTATGTGTGTGAGCGAGAGAAAGAAAGAGAGAGAGATTCTTAGCAAACTTCAAATGAAGTCTTTTCCTTTGAATATATCTAGGTATCTTTCTCCTGTAAGATCCCCAAAGAAAAAAGGGTCAACTACACGTGTAAATTCTACTGCAAATTCAGAGGCACAAGCAACCTCAGCCTTCCAGACTCAGAAGCCATTGAAATCTACCTCCCTTTCACTCTTTTACAAAAAAGGTTAGTAGATGATCACTCTCAAGAGCATGGACTCTGAAACGAGGCTGACTGGATTCAAATCATGGCTCTTCTGCTTAACTAGGCGTGACTTTGGGCAAGTCGCTTTAATATCATATGACCCAGCAATCCCACTACTGGGCATATATCCTGAGAAAACCATAATTCAAAAGGACATATGTACCCCAATGTTCATTGCAGCACTATTTACATTAGCCAGGTCATGGAAGCAACCTAAATGTCCAACGACAAATGAATGGATAAAGAAGATGTGGTACATATATACAATGGAATATTACTTAGCCATGAAAAGGAATGAAATTGGGTCGTTTGTAGAGATATGGATGGACCTAGAGTCTGTCATACAGAGTGAAGTAAGCCGGAAAGAGAAAGACAAATATCGTATATTAATGCATATATGTAGAATCTATAAAAATGGTACAGATGAATCTATTTGCAGGGTAGGAATAGAGGTGTAGACGTAGAGAACGGACATGTGGACATGGTGGGGAAGGGAAGGGTGGGATGAATTGGGAGATTGGGATTGACATATATACACTACCATGCGTAAAATAGCTAGCGGGAATATGCTATAAAGCACAGTAAGCTCAGCTCGGTGCTCTATGAATGACCTAGGTGGGTGGGATGGGGGTCCAAGAGGGAGGGGATATAGGTATAAATGTAGCTGATTCACTTCATTGTACAGCAGAAACTAACACAACACTGTAAAGCAATTATACTCCAATTTAAAAAAAAACTTTAATATCTCTATGCCTGTTTTCTCATCTGTAAAATGGAAATAATAATAATCTACCTTGTATGGGTTTTGAGATAATTAAATGAATTAATACATAAAATGCTTCCAACAGTGCCTAGCACATAGTAAGCACTCAGAAAGTGTTAGATGTTGTTATTGTCGCTGCTACTGTTATGCTTTCAAATTTATGCCTGGAAATATTTGCTCCTAACATTACTTTTGCTGTTCAGGTGTGTGAGTTGAGATTATACAAAGTGTTGTGGCCTAGTGCAGGTGCATTTCCTGGTAACCAGCTTGTATAGCATTCTCTGATTGTGTGTGTATGTGGTGGGATGGGGAGGTCATTTGGGTGTCTGGGCATGTGTATATACATGCAAGTGCACACCCACTTGGAGCTCTTTGAAGGAAAGTAAAAGGCCACATTCCTCTGTGATAAATCATTTTTCTGATTTTTATTCAAGTCAGAGATATACTGAACTTTATAGGCATGTTATAAGCCCTTACATTAAGAGCGTTGGTTCCAAAGTGTGGTCCCCAACCAGTAGAATCCACCTCACCTGCTAAGTTGTAGAAATGAGAAGTTTTCTTTGAGCACTGCCCCTAGAACTACTCAGTCAGAAGCTCTAGGATGAGGGGGAAAAAAAAAAAAAATCATTGTTTTTACAAGCCCTCAGTGCAAGTCTGATATAAGCCAAAGTTGAGGACCACTGGGATAAATTATTAACTAAAAAATTCTGATTACCTTATGCAAGTCTTTGAAAAGTAAATTTAAACCAAGTGTTTAAATTAAAAAGTAAATTTAAACCAAGGTTCATTATGTTTAAAGTAGATGGAGGAAAATTCAGTTTTGTGGATTACTTTTCTCCAACCTGTGTTCCACTAGCATTTTAAAATAAACTCTCTAAATTTAATATCACAGTCATATTACCACTTAGGTAATCTACAAGTCTAGCATTTTTATAGAGAAATACACTATTTGTTTTTTGTTTTTAGGATTGGAAAAATTGAGGGACTTTGGAAATTCCATTATTTTAAAAAATAATTACCCTCTTGAATATTGATAGTGAGAATTTTCAACATCTGTGATGAGAGATTACCAGTGGAACTGAAACATACCCTATTTGGATTGTCTAATTTCACAAGATCTTAGGATCTTTTTTCCTCCGCCTCAACTTTATTTTATTTATTTTTGGCTGTGTTGGGTGTTGGTTGCGGCACGCGGGATCTTCGTTGAGGCATACGGGATCTTTCATTGTGGCACACGGGCTTCTCTCTAGTTGTGGCGTGCAGGTTTTCTCTCTCTAGTTGTGGTGTGCAGGCACCAGGGCACATGGGCTCTGTAGTCGTGGCGTGTGGGTTCCAGAGTGCGTGAGCTCTGTAGTTTGTGGCACGCAGGCTCTGTAGTTGAGGCACAGGAGCACAGTAGCGCACGGGCTTAGTCGCCCTGCTGCATGTGGGATCTTTGTTCCCTGACCAGGGATCAAACCCGCGTCCCCTGCATTGGAAGGCGGATTCTTTACCACTGGACCACCAGGGAAGTCCCTCTACCTCAATTTTATGCTGTAATAATTTAGCAAAAGAATTATTTTTTGCTGAATAATGCTTTCAGCAAAGTATTATTTTGCCTTCTAGTATCTAGTACAGTGCTAAGGCTACAAATCAATTTATTCATAAGGAAAACAGTGGTAGAGATGAAGTTAATGTTAAAATGCTATTTAACAGCATTTGGTTATAGCAATTTAATGTTTCGAAAAAATCCACTTGTGATACAAAATTAAGAGTAAATGTGATTAATTCCCCTTATTTTTCCAGTGTATCGACTAGCATATCTTCGACTAAATACCCTGTGTGCACGCCTTCTGTCTGACCACCCAGAACTAGAACATATCATCTGGACCCTTTTCCAACACACACTGCAGAATGAGTATGAACTCATGAGAGACAGGCATTTGGACCAGGTAAGAAAATTATGCACTTTTCCTACTCGACTCACTTGTTAGCTGTGTACTGATTTCTTAAGAAAAGGTTAGATTCAAATGAGAAGCTGCATTGATTTAGTAGACTTAATATATATTTGCTTGTTGACTACCCTTTATATTTTTGCTATATTTCTTACAAATGAGAGCTTTAGAGCTTGAGAGTATTTCAATAACTTTACTTATTTAATGGCATGAAAGATCTCACTGCAAAACTCACTGAAGAAACTTTATCCTAGGCTTTTTCTATGTTGTGGTAAGCTAGAATTCATTTAGTGTGGAAAAAGCATGAGACTTAAGAATAGTTGATCTATGACTTCCCTGGTCCAGTGCTCAAGACTCTGTGCTTCCACTGCAGGCTGCAGGGGACACGGGTTTGATCGCTTGTTGGGGAACTAAGAACCCCTGGGGATCTTAGTTGGTCTAAAAAAGATCTAAAAAAGAATAGTTGATCTAAAACAGTGTCAAATGAATAAATGAATGAGTTAATTTACAAAGACCATCTCTCATATCTTCCTCTTTCTTCTCTGTTTATGGAATAATATTTTTGTAACAGTTTTATTGAGATGTAATTCATATACCATGCTAATTGCCCATTTAAAATGTACAGTTCAGTAGTTTTTAGTATATTAACAGAGTTGTGCAACAATCACCAAAATCAGTTTTAAAATATTTTCATCATGTCAAAAAGAAACACTGTACCTGTAGCATACACACCTCTATTCTCCTACCCCCTCTAACCACAGGCAACATGCTAATCTACTTTCTGTCTTTATAGACTTGCCTGTTCTGGACATTTCATATAAATGGACTCATATAATGTTATCTTTTGTGTCTGGATTCCTTAACTTACTATGTTTTCATTGTTCATCTGTGTTATAGCTTGTATCAGTACTTCATTCCTTTTTATTGCCAAATAATATTCCATTGTATGGCTATACCGCATCATGTTTATTTATTCATCAACTGATGTACATTTGGTTTCCACTTTTTGGCTATTATGAATAATGTTAATGAAAATTCATGTGCAAGTTTTTGGGTGAATGTATGTTTTCATTTCTCTAGGGTATTTACCTAGGAGTGGAATTGCTGGGTCATATGGTAACTCTTTGTATTACCTTTTGAGGAATGGCCAGATTGTTTGCTAGCATGGCTACCCATTTTACATTCCTGTCAGCAGTGTATGGGGTTCCGATTTCTTCACATCTTCACCAACTTCTTATTTGCCTTTTGGATTATAGCCATCTTAGTGGATATGAAGTGATATCTCTTTGTGGTTTTGATTTGCACTTCCCTGATGGCTAATGATATTGAGAATCTTTTTGTGTTCTTATTGATCATTTGTATATCTTCTTTGGAGAAATAGTTATTCAGATACTTTACCTATTTGTTCATTGGGTTGTCTTTTTATTGTTGAGCCGAAAGGGTTTTTTATATATTCTACATGCAAATTCTTTATCATACAAATCCTTATATGATTTGCAAATATTTTCTCTCATTCCCTGAGTTGTCATTTCACTTTCTTGATTGTGTCCTTTGAAGCTTTTGGTGCTTTAGTGCTTCAAAAGCTCAGATTTTCTTTTTCTTCTTGAGTCAGTTTTGGTAGTTCGTGTCTTTCCTTAAATTTTTCCGTTTCATCTTAGATATCTATTTTGTTGATATGCAGCTGTTCATAATGTTCCCTTTTAATCTTTTTATTTTGGTAAGGTTGGTAGTATTGTTCCTAGTAAGAATTATATTTTGAGCAAAAGATGAATTATTGTATAAAGGTATAACCTACCAATCTGTATATTTTACAAGAGGATATTTGAACTCTAAATTCTAGTATGTTGGATTTTTTTTTTTTTTAAGTAGGCACTTATTGCCTTATGGGTCTACTGCTTTTCTATAATATAGAAAGATAGACAGTAGTGCTAAGGATTTCTAAAGAGATTAGGTATCTGGAATCAAGAAGATTTTGTGAGAGGTATCTTAGGTAAAGTATTGAAATAGGAGAACAGTGTGAATTAGCAAAGAGGATACTTGGATGGCATTCTAAACGGGAGAAATAATAGTATTGGGGCTGTTTAAGATGCTAAACAAGGGACGTTGAGTAGGTATTCTTGGCGGTAGATGGGAACAAGAATGTTGCAGAAGATATCAGTTCTTAAATTAGGTAGTAAAATTCAGACAAATTAAGAAAGTTCGATGTTTCAAAGTCACAGAAAATCACTTCAAATTTTATTTTTATGTTTAAAATACCCTTCTCTTTAAATGTAATATGCGTATAGAGTAATCTGTATATCATAAGGATACATCTTAATGTAAATTCATCAACTGAACTCATCTATGAAAGCAAATCAAGAAACAGAACATTGTCAACAGAAGACTGTCTCCTGTCCCCTTCCAGTTACTGCATCCCCCTTAACACCACCACTGAGTATAGCCAATATTATTTTATCTAATAGTTTGAACCCTTTTCACACCTGGCTTTTTTTTTTTAAGTGCTAGTTATACAGTTAATTGATTCCAGTTTCAACTTTTCTCTTCTGAGAAACATTTAAGGAACAGGAGCCAAAGTTAGGGTTATTTACAAACCAGATGATCAGTCCTGAATAACTGAGAGTTGGCTATTTGCATTCTGTTCTTTAAATACTCTACATGTACATTCAAACTGAGCTCAGGATGGGAGAAGATAATTCTGTAGGAAATTAAATTTCCATTGTTTGAAACTAAGAGAAAGGTAACAGTGTTTTTTAGAGTACAACCATGCAACAAAATCCTGACTATGTTTATATCACATTTATTTTACTAGATTATGATGTGTTCCATGTATGGCATATGCAAAGTGAAGAATATAGACCTTAAATTCAAAATCATTGTAACAGCATACAAAGATCTTCCTCATGCTGTTCAGGAGGTAGGTAATTTTCCATGGTAAGAATTTTCCAGATATATACATATCTATAATATGGATAGCTTCAGTCATTAATTATATCATATGTTCTGACTGTATTATATAAATTTACATATCAACTTTTTACTTTTGTATTATTGGTTAATTATTTGTAACTAAAATGTAATTGGGAAGTTAACACACTTTAGTATTCAAATTCATACTATAAAGTAAACAAAGAATACTATATCCCTGACAATAAGCAGGATATTTGTAATAAACTTTTACACAAATGTATAAAAAACATATTGTATACATCTATGACATTTCACTGCTAGTAGAGCAGCTATAATCCAAGCCTAAGATGGCTTTTTCGGATTGTTTTTGCCTGTAAAATATGCGTTTTTACTGTTAAATAGTATTATGAACTATGAAAATAGAAAATCTAGGCTTCCCTGGTGGCACAGTGGTTAAGAATCCGCCTGCCGATGCAGGGGACACGGGTTTGAGCCCTGGTCTGGGAAGATCCCACATGCCACAGAGCAACTAAGCCCGTGCACAACAACTACTGAGCCTGCGCTCTAGAGCCCGTGAGCCACAACTACTGAAGCCCACGCACCTATAGCCCGTGCTCCGCAACAAGAGAAGCCACCACTCACCGCAGCTAGAGAAAGCCCCTACGCAGCAACAAAGACCCAATGCAGCCAAAAATCAATTAATTAATTTAAAAAAAAAAAAAGAAAGAAAATCTAAGCAGTTAAATACCCAAATTCATTTAACAAGTGTTTTTGCTCTTCTTCCTCAGACATTCAAACGTGTTTTGATCAGAGAAGAGGAGTATGATTCTATTATCGTTTTCTATAATTCAGTCTTCATGCAGAGACTGAAAACAAATATTTTGCAGTATGCTTCCACCAGGGTACGTTAAAAAGCATCCTTTGTTTGGGAAAATCTAATTATAAAGCAGTAGATCTCACTAAAACATTAAGTAATCTACTTTTTTTGTTTTTCCTCTAGCCCCCTACCTTGTCACCAATTCCTCACATTCCTCGAAGCCCTTACAAGTTTTCTAGCTCACCTTTACGGGTTCCTGGGGGCAACATCTACATATCACCCCTGAAGAATCCGTATAAAATTTCAGAAGGTCTGCCTGTGCCAACAAAAATGACTCCAAGATCAAGGTTTGTGTTTTCTTTTTAGGGAAGTGGTAAAGAATAAGAGGGGCTTATTTTGATCCAAGCATAAGAACACAAAGCTTTCTTCATTTAAAATAAGCCAGATTTGAGACCCTAATTTCCTCATTTATATTAAGTGATGTGATAAGAATTGGGGGGAGGGGGGGAGGTAATCTGTTTACTTAGATGGGTTTGCACATTTAGTCATCAGCTTTCCTGGCTGCTGGGGTCTGTTCTTTTGTAAACAGTCTGAGCACCAGTTTGATGATAAGTTTCAAGTCACTCTCATGTTTTCGTAAGTAGCCAGTCTGCTAAACAAAGTAGATTACTTTTGGTTAAGAATTTTTATTCTGGGGTTTATTGAATGTCCTGTGAACTCTTTCTGTGGATGTGTTCATCTTGCTTATAAAAATGTAGATGACTGATTAAATGTAGGTGACTGTAAATTAAGTCTTTAGAGGTCCATCCCTAATTCTGCCTGTGGCCTCTTTGTATTAACTTGGGCAGGTCTCAGGGTACTGTGGCTCAGGTAAATGATGAGTGTGAAACTGTTTTAAATTCTCAGATGAAAGGTTCTGTGCGACTACAAATCAGTATATTATCTTCCACATCCAACAGCAAGTGCTCTCTGGCTTTTGAAGTTGACTCATTATGTGTTATCAAGAGCCATTTAAAGCTGACTTTATTTGAATAAAGTGGAGGCAGATTAGCTTGTAAAGTCTCAGAAAATGTTAGCCCATATAGTTGTACTTAATGGGCAAGAAAAACAAGAGGGGGATATATAAATCCTATAGAAAACATTTGTGTGGTGTGTTTAATTATATAAATAATGCACACTCATAAAAATTTCAAACTCTACAGTAAAAGAAAAAGTAGAAAATAATTGGCAAATGATATAAATGCTCTCATGTGCCCCTGTATCGTCTTCTGTTTATTTGGTGTTCTTACAGTTGAGTATCTGTGTACTGATATCTACAGATTACATTATAAGCTGCTGAGATGCCACACCATGTCTAATTTGTACACATGAAAACGTATACTTAGCTAAATTTTTAATGGTGATGATTAACCCATAGTATGCTGATAATGATGGCTTTTTTGCTGATCTTAGTTAAATCACTTCCAGGTTGGAGTCCTTTAGCAAAAAAAGTCACATTCTGAAAATCCTGATAAATCATTGATCAGGTATTAAGAGAGCATCTTAACACTCTACATATTCAGCATATTTAGTTAAATCAAATATATCAGTATAGAGAACGATGGCCACTTATCAAAGAATTGGAGGACAGTAAAATCCATATATTTATTGATTCCATGTACATATGATCCAGTCTTTGTTGTGTCAGGCTAATGCTGTTCTTCACCTTTATTATCAGGAGTGTAAATTATATGGTTCAAGCAAGGACAAAATAATAAGAGATTTCTGATTCTAGGATTCTAGGATTTCTGATTCTAGGATTCTGTTAAATAGCCTTTACTATATATAGTAAGTATATTTACTATACTATATATAGATCCTAATTAGAATTCTGATTATCACATATAAGTTTTTGTTTTTCCAAAAAATAATTTTTTTTTTTTTTTTTTTTTTTTTTTTTTTTTTAGCAGTACGCGAACCTCTCACTGTTGTGGCCTTTCCCGTTGCGGAGCACAGGCTCCGGACGCGCAGGCCCAGCGGCCATCATGGCTCACGGGCCCAGCCGCTCCGCGGCATGTGGGATCTTCCCAGACCGGGGCACGAACCCGTGTCCCCCGCATCGGCAAGCGGACTCTCAACCGCTGCGCCACCAGGGAAGCCCGTAACTTGAATTTTTTAATGAGAAAATGTGAAAGAAATTTTAATTGTTAACTTAGTCATTGATTTATGAAGAATTAAGTATGGATAAACTTAAAATTTTCTTTTACCCTTTTTAAATGTGAACAATGGCAGAATATGTTCTTGCAGACATGCAGGTCTTGCTTTAAAAAATCTAAGGAACCAGTTCAGTGTTTGACTAGACTAGCAGTACCAGAATAAGTCTCTAATGAGTATAGTTTGTCAGTAGTTCCAGGGGTAGAGGAAACCTTTGATTTGGCATTCCT